AAAAAGGTCCACTACAGAATCCGAAATCGTTACATCGCTTATCTCTGCAATCATCTTGCAATGAATTTTTTCTGACTTTGACGACCAGTGCGCCGTAATTTTTTACGAAATTGCCGAGCGGATACAGTCCATACTACATCTGCCCGTCAGTTTGTTACAAAAAAATTTGTTGAGTAAATCTGACCAACCTTTGTTGACTGTCTTGACTGGCTGTGCTTTGCCGACCACTGTTGTCGCCTTTGTTCACTGGGATATGAGCAGCATAGCGTTCATGTCGTGCCGGATTAGTATTTGCTGCTAATGCTGCTGTGTAAGAAGTTGATAACGAAGTCATGCCTGGAACAAATTTCGATTTTGTTGAGAGAATATGACAGGCACGAGCAGGAAATCGAGTTTCTTACCATCCGTCGGATGCGACACGCGACGTGGGGAAGAGTGACGGTCCTGAAATGGTGCAAAGTTCAGTTGCGACGGGTTTTCATAGCTATGAGGCTGTAATGTTAGGTTCTGTCATAAAATTTTTGCAATATCTTCTCTTGCAATAAAGTTTTCTTCTTGCTCTCTAGGTTTTGCAATACCATTCGACAGAGCAAAGCAAACTTTGCAGGACACCGAACTTGCTCAATGTTTGTTCCAGAAAATTCGAAGCTCAAAAAATACATGCCCAGAAAATCAGGAAAATATCGATCTCCGTTCAAAAAATTTCTATTTTCCTACTTGCTTAGGCTTTACCCTCCACATTCGGCATACTGTAGATTTTTTTGTTTATTCTTTATTTTTTCTCATTTTTTCCATAACTAGGATTGAGAGAACAATGGTTTCCGAGTTTTGGCCGAAATTGTGCTGAGCTGCTCCCACATAAATAGTTCTATCGTATGAATCTTTGGGAGTAAAATCATAGATTACTGACTTTCAAAAAGGGAAAATTTTTAGAGAAAATTTAATTTAGCATAAAGAATCTGCAAAAAGGCGACTTTTCGTACTGGCCTATTTTGGTGAATCTATGTTTCTTGAGCTTTATCATGGAAAAAATAAGCCAATTTATATATCTGTGCCGGATGTGAAGAGTATATGCACAAACAACTAAGAAGTTTGTAGGAATTTTCTGGACAGACAGAACTCTTAATTTTTTAGGCATGCAGATGCTTTGAAATTTCTTTGAACTTTATGCGGAGACTTCGGCCTGCTTTGCACTGTCGAAGGCCCTGTCGAGTGAAAAATCTGTTTGAAAAGCAAGAAGAACCACTTGCAAGAGGAACTGAAAGAGAAAAAGGATTACAAGACTATGAGCGATTGAAGCGCGTTGTCTCTTTTGAAAGATGCAAGGAATAGAAGTATATAAATGATGCAGAAAGTCGTTCTCTGTCGGTTTCGGAAAGTGTCATTCGCGTGCATTTTCTTTCCCATTATTCAATGAAGAACGAGTAATTTATTGCCGATCTCCAAAACATCGCGAACTCAGGAACTTTTGCGCTGAGCGAAAAAGTGGCCAGTGTCGAAACAATAGCACCTCCACTAGGAAAGTAGGTTAGCGCGGATGTGGTGGATTTGCACGAATTGGAGGGATGGATTTCTAGTTTCCAAAGAGGAAGGGGTCTCGGGAAAATGGTGAACAATATCTGAGGAGAGTCTATCAGATTGCTGATATTTCACTCTCTAATAACTCGACATTGTGATGCAAGCTAAACTACCACAAATTCAGTTTATTTCCGCTAATAAACATGAGCAAAAAAGTCTGAAAGAAGAAAAGGAAAGAACTAAGCCTTTCCTCGCCATTTGTGGTAATACTACGTCTTCAAAGAAAGAAAAAGCCTAAGCTCATCTATACGCCTATTCTTCATCAAGTCAGCAATCAAATGTCTGTAGACAGAAGAGATCAGGCCACGCACAGCTCTCAGCAAGAAATCAAAATTTGATCAGCATATTTGGTTTGCTCCACTTTTCATTCACGTTGAAGCTGGCTAACAATCAAAAATTTTCCGTCATCAAAATCTTTTTTGTGTCAAAAAATCATAATGTATTCATATAACAGCGCAAAAAATTCCAAACGCCCGTCCAGGCTACCGTAGAGGGCCAATCAGCGTCCTCGAGTGCAGTCGGCGCTGATTGGTTACTTGTAAAAAGTACGGTGTGGGCGAGGTGGTCGCGACACATACTAGCTGCGCTTGGGTATTGGCTTAGTTCAGGCTACTTGGTTTTCACATCAGAAATTCAAACCCAAAGTACTTAAATGAATGGACTTTGCTTCTTAGCATCATGGTTTTTCTCCCAAAAGCTTTTAGTTCAAACGATATATTGAATTCGGTAATACAGTTCAGAAAAACTAATGTCAAAAGTGAAGAAGTACTTTTCACGCTACTTCTCTACCGCCTTCTAATGCCAGCCACGCCCATCAAGCGGAACTTATCTATTGCTCTCTATGTTCGAGCTTTATTGCAATTGGAACGGCTTACAATGAATGACAAAGGAACAATAACTTACGATTTTTAATAGACCGCGCAAATGCAGACACAGCCATGGCATGCAAACAGAGAAGAAACTGATAGCGAATGGGAGTGAAATAAATGGAAATCGTTCAGCCCTACATGACTAAATGTTTCTCTAATCGTAAGAGACAACCAAACGCGTGGGTTTGAACAGCTGTTTGATAGGTTTTCTCAAGTGCAATGTCCTATCGATTATTAAGAAAGTAATAAACACTGGAGAAAAAATGCCTATCTCTCATGATAGCTGGGGAGCGAAAGAGAAGTTTTTTTTCGTGGCTTGCAAGGGTGCTCGTTAGGAAAAAAGCAAAAATTTTGAATTTCATTTTTTCAACGGGACTCATAAGAGTTTCTGGTGATGGGTTGTCAAATCTTCGGGCAAAAGACTTGATTATGTGTGACAGAATATA